AGGAAGGAAATAGCAAACCAGGAAAAGTTTAAAAATATTTAGAAGTCAGAGCTTATGCTTGGATTTCTTACCTTCACCTCCCCTGCCTACCATGGGCAGCTTCACTGTGAACTCAGTTTATGAGTAAACCTTGGTGGTGTTAGCAGTTCCAAACTCTATTTAACTGAGTGTCCAGACTCGTGTGCCTGCCTCATCAGATCACAGCTCTTTGGCTACCTTTGCCACTAGTTCAGGGCCTAAACTGAGCTTGGGCCGAGCCCACATTTAAATGTAGATGTGCTTTGTTAGTGAAACAGCAGGTTCAGTAACAGAGTCACTGTACCCTACTGCGTACAAAGATGTCTGATCAGTTTTTAGCTTTGACAACATGGGACAATCACTGGTTCGCCTTATAAAGATCTAAAATTGTTCTTTTCCCTTTCCTCCAACTTACAAACCAAAATATTTACAGGGGTAAGGAGGATTTGTGCCTTGGTATGAGTACACTTTTAGCATGTGTTGCATTAGTTCTCAGTACAGAGCCTTAGTAAGACATGAATTTCCTGGTTTGCAGGGAGGAAACATAATTTGTTTTCACTGCTCTGTGAAAGGAAGATCTGAAAGAGGTTTTGAGTAAATGACACACGCACACACTGCTTGGTTGGAAAGTGTAACTGGAGCCTGACATCTTGCTCTAGGCCAGCGGCCTGCTACGTGTCTCTGCAAGGCGTTTCACCTCTCGGCTGCAATGTGCTGTGGAAAGACACCACATCATTTGTGGCTCCTGGCAGAGTTTCACTCGGTGACAAATCCTGAATTCAGTCTTTCCAGTGCCCTCTTAGTTCTGCTGCAGAGAACCAGCTGGTATTCCCTGAATTTAGGAGAACTCTGCATTGCTCAAAGTGGTGACAGAGAAAGAAATGATATTGTGGATCTATTTTGGAGATTTATAGGCCAAACCATTTTTTTTTAAATATGGAATTTTTTATACAGTGATTCAAAGAATGATTCATCAGCTGGCAGTCTTTTGCTTGCTCCCTTTTTCTCCATAGGGCTCTTGAGTTTGATAGGGTGGTAGCACTGCTTTAACTTAGTGTCAGAACCACAAGTTAGGGGTCTTCTCCTCTCCAGCAAGTCATGGCATGGTAATGCCCAAAATGTAGAATGAAAATCCTTGTTATTTGACTGCACTGTGACTGGAAGGGCTCCCTGTTGCATGTCAAGCAATGTGTCAGTTTGACTACTCTCTGCTGTTTGTCGTCTGACAGTGCAATTTCTATACCCTGCAAGTATAGGGCTTTTTAGCCTGAACTTGGTATTGCTTTTTTTGGAAAACTCTTCTAATGTTACGAAGGTGTGTCTTAGGCTGAAGTCCAATCAAGTTTGGAAGCCAAAAGTGCAGACTGAAAACAACATTATTCAGAGAAATGTGGCAGATGGTGAAGAACACCACCAAAACAAAAAAAAAAAAGAAAAGCAAAAATCATTTGTCTCTGATATCTGTAGACTAAAATCAGAGAGTATGTGTTACTGCAGTGATACCAGTGTGTTTCATTACTGCTGGGTGCTTCCGGGTGAGCTGGAAAGGAAACACTGTGATGGGCAAATGCAGCAAATCTTACTGCAAGGAGAACTTCCCTTCAGAGCCCAGATAGTTAAAGCTTGATTTATGCCTGGAGTTTGAAGGCTCATATTCCTTCCAAAACATTTCATGGCTTAAGATTCATTTGCAAAACTCTTCTAATAATCCTGTAAAGTGCTTAGACATCTGTCTTTGTATTTATACCTGTACAACAAGTGGATTAATAAAAGTTTCTGATATTATATGCGCTAATTGCATTTCTTGTCTAAATGGCCACTCTTAGTAGCACTATTTTTTCAGTTTCTTTGTGTAATTATTTTTTGCATGCTTCATGGTCTAAGGTCTGATTCATTCTGTCATCAGTAGCCTTCTTTTTGAGAAGAGGTGCATAATGATCAAAGTATTCACAGTGAGGTTGTACCATAGGCACTGTATATGTTTAATATGTGGTGCTGCAACCTTTTGAAAACTTTTTTGATCACATAAATGATGTGATCATTCCTCAGTGGTATCTAATAGTTATTTGTTTTGTTTTGGATTGTGGCACTTAATGCAGAAATCACTGATACATGTTTCAGTCTGGTGTAGGAGATGTTTCTCAAAGCTGAATTTAAACATGCATTTTTATTGTTGGCAACTAAGCACCACACAGTTGCTCACTCACTTCTGCCCCATACTTGCCCCTCTCCCTGTGGGATGGGGAGAGAATCATAAGTGTAACAGTGAGAAAACTCATGGATTGAGGTAAAAAGTTTAATAATTGGCAGGGAAATAGTTAATCGTAAGGAGAAGGAAAACCCAAGTGATGCAAATGAAGACAGTTGCTAACCACCAACTGACTGATGCCCAGGCAGTCCCCAAGCAGCAGCCCCCTGACCAACTTTCCCCCTAGCTTATTGCTGAGCATGACATCATGTGTTACGGTGGGGTGGTATGAGTAGAAGAGGCCTTGACTCTGCATAAGCACTGCTCAGCAATAGCTTATCAACACTGGTTTTGGCACAAATCCAAAACATAGCCCTGTACTAGCTACTGTGAAGAAAATCTGCTTGATTTAGTGATCCCAATTATTTTGACTTCAGAACATCCTGAAAATCAATAAAAGTTAAAAAAAAAAAATCTTGAAATACCACCAAGGTTTAGAAGAAAAAATTTGGGCTGATATTGTATAACCATTTGCTGAAAGTTAACTATAGCATCATAGAATGGTTTGGGTTGGAAGGAACCTTAAAGACCATCCAGTTCCAACCCCCCTGCCATGGGCAGGGACACCTTCCCCTAGACCAGGTTGCTCAAAGCCACATCCAGCCCGGCCTTGAACACTTCCAGGGATGGGGCATCCACAGCTTCTCTGGGCAACCTGTTCCAGTGCCTCACCACCCTCTCTGGGAAGAACTTCTTCCTGATATCCAATCTAAACCTCCCTGATTTCAATTTAAACCCATTATCCCTTGTCCTGTCACTACATAACTACTGTGTCACTAAGTTGTGATCAGGATATAGGAGCCTGTCATGTTTTTATGGATGGTGAAGAAGCAAACTGAGTGAAGTAGTACAGAGCCCCCCTTCAGACTGGCAAAGACTGTTCTTTGTGTGTGTCTTCTGACAGAAAGGTCTATCCTGCTATCTCAGAACCAAAATCATGTATTTCTTGGGCTGAGGATAAAAGTCCTTTGGGGTATTTTGTGCAGTGGAAACCAAAGCCTGGCTGTAAAGTTGTCTGTTCCCCAGTCAAGGGAACTCTCCACTTAGGCAGAAATCAGGTGTGCTGCACATGACAGTAAGGGAGAAGTAAACTCAAGTAAAAACTTTTCTGAAGATGCTCATATGAATAGCCTTCTCTCAAATTTTACCATTGTGTTCATCGTTTAGTTGGTCTTGTGTATAAATTCTTCCATTAATTTATTGCAGATTCATCTGGAGTTTCTGTCATTTCATAAGTGGAAAACTAAATCCAAGGCTGTTAATACTTACTGTGTATTTTAGAATGACTGTTGTTACAATTAGCAAGAATATGATCTGGTTTATTATTAATGAAATGAGCTTTTAATAATTAATTTCTACCATGTTGTTCACTTCATGCTTTTAAGTGTTGTAAAAGCCCTTGTACATTTCAGGAAAAAAAAAAACACCACCTCATGCTGAGATGATGACACATCCGATGTTTTTTAAGGCATTTGATAGAGAACAAATATCTCCTTCACAGATAGGAATAATTGCAGAGTGGCCATTTAACACTAATTGTTTATATCATGCCCCATCCCTGTTTGTCTTCAAGGCCAGGCTGGGGGAGGCTTTGAGCAACCTGGTCTAGTGGAAGGTGTCCCTGCCCATGGCAGGGGGGTTGGAACTAGATGGTCTTTAAGGTCCCTTCCAACCCAAACCGTTTTGTGATTCTGTGAAAAGGAGGAGGCAGCAGTTTTCTGAACAGATATCAGCAGGGCACGTGTTAGATTTCTTGAACAGGTATCAGCAGGGCACGTGTTAGATTTCAAGCATTCTATTGACTTCTGTAGGTTTATTCACTGCTCTCAGTGGCTCGTTCGTTGCTCATATTCAGTTAATTTCTGTGCAATTAATAGAAAGCTTTCACTGAGAAGGGAGATAAGGAAACTTGGTTCTAGTTTTGCTATCTAGAATGAGATTATAGGATGGAAAAAGACACTAGAAATTCGTTGTTAATGCCAGTGACCCTGAAATAAAATAAGTAGCTTCATAGCATTTGTATGTCTTACATTCTGTAAAGACTTTCAGTAGAGGAAGTATGTACAATTTACCAGTGAGTTATCCCTATTAATTATTTCTGCGAATTTTTCTCACCAGTACCGAATCCGGTTGATACTTCTCTTTACTGCATCAGTGGTAGAATGAACTTGTCTCTGTCACTGAAAACAGCCTCCTCCATGTTCACAAGTTGTTGTAACATCTTCCTTCCACCTTCTTAATCCCAATCCTTCATTCTTTCCATTGGTCATACCTTTTAGATCTCTTATTTTCCTGGTCTCAAGTGTGATGCTTCATCAGCTTGTTACACTTTGCAAATTCATGGTGGTGGCTGTTCATCTGTGACAGTTCTGTTTCTCCAGAAAATGGGCCCACGTTTCATTATTTGATGTTGGCTGTATGTAGTAGATACTATGTACATTTGTAAACAGGGGTGTGCATGTGTGTATTTGTGGGTATGTGGGGAAGGGTGGGGTAGGAGGATGGTGTGCTGTTACTGTAAATCTCTTAAAAACCATGCCTAAAAATTATTTACCATGGAAGTGATTTTGGGTTTCTGTTTAAGAAAACCGTGGAGACTGGTTATTAACTGATCAGAGCCTATAGTGATCAGGTTTATTTCTTCAGTGTTGTGAATTCTAAGTTGCTTTTCTTTTTTCTTTTTCTTCCCTGCTGCTTTCCCCCCATCCCCCATGCCCTTCTCTGTAATTCACAGCTTTTGGAAATTAACTGGACTGGACTGACTAATCTTCTGGATGTTCCAGGACTGAAGTGAGTATATGTAAAGCGGTGTTTGATATTCCTCCACCCCAAAAAAACCCACAATGTCTGAAGACCATCAGGTAAATAATTTTGGGTTCTGTGACTCTGAACAGTTAACTCTTAGTTTAGAATTACATGAAATTGCTCAATACACAGAAGGTAGTGATTTCACTACAAGTGAAGGTACATCAAAAGCATATCTATCAGGTCTTGTTAGAAATATTTTGAAAAGATACTTTTTAATCTGCTTTTTTTTAGTGTTCTCTGCCTTTCCCGATTTCCAGAATCTTGTGAATTTCCTGTCTGCCATCTGCTAGGACAGCAGAAAGACCAAGAGCCTTATTTTTCATGCCTGTGGCTTCACAATATCTTGATTCATGGCTTTATATGCTGATAGATCTCTAGTTGCTTGTGTAAAGGTAGTTACAAATACCTTAAGACAGTAATCAAATAAACTTTCTAATCTCTTTAAGTAACTACTGTAAAGCTTTCAATTAATTATGTGGAGATCAAATGGAGTAGCAAAATTAGTGACCATATATAGAAAAAAGGCTTGGCTTATTCAGAGCTTGTCAAAGTAGTACATGATAAAACCCAAAATTCAAAAGCAGAAGCAGAGGTGAAAAGCAAGCTTTTGGTTTTAAATAATTGCAATCCTGATACGGTTAAATCCATGAATGTATTCATAATTACAAAGTTTTAATAGTTACCCAGGGGCTTTTTAATATTCAGACGATGGCTAAGGGGACAATTGCAGATCTGATACATGCTGGGATTTTGTGACTAGGTCTTTTATTGGATCCCATTCTCTTCAGAGTTGTCTGACTGCAGAATTATTTTCTATTGTTTAAAAACAAGCGTTTGAATTTAGGTATTAAATTAATCCTTTAGTGCTCAATTGCTGACTGCAATGCTTTTTGCTTTGTTTAGATATTTGAAGTCATTGCATAGAATCCCTGTTGAACACTTTGAAATTAGAACTTGCATTAAGTAGGTTAATGGCTGCAAGAATTGCTTATGTTTCAAGCCTGCCTCCAAGGAAAGAGGTTTTTTGATGAGTGAGAAAATGCCTTCTAAAACACAGCTTCTGAGTAATAATTTGCTGTTTTGACTTAACACTAATAAATTTATGTTTAGTACTTAATCGTACTAGGCTCCTGAAATTCATATCATGTTACATATTTGCCTGACTGCAAACACAGAGCCTCAGATGTAAACAAAGACTCACTAAGTTTATGGTTTCCAGAGCAACCAAGCCTGGCCACATTGCGCATATTATGGTGCCACCTAGATGTGGTATAGTTTCTATAGTAACTGTAACTGAGGTGACTCACACTCTGCCTTGCCAAGAGATTTCTTCAGTTCTGTATTTGTTTTTCTTATCTGTATAGATAGATTGTATATTTTGGTACAACAGCTTCACATATTGTAATTGTTATAAGCAGTGGTGAACAAGAGATTGCTGTGGCCACAGGTACCTTTTTCGTCCCACGGCTGTTGGCTGCATACTAAACTATTTATTTGTACTTTGTGCAAATGTCTTCTGCCAAATGAATTCCTGCGTTTGCTGCTGGAAGCTTCTCTGTCAGCTGTTAACAACTTCCACTGCTCTTCCTATGTGACTCCACAAGGAGAAGGGCACAGAAGTAACTCATATTCCCTCATTAGTATAGCTTATGGAGGAGTGGAATTAAAATCTCTGTGAGGAGGAGCCAGGCTGTGAGAATACTCAAGTGCTGTCAGGAGAGGATGTGGATGATGGGAAGATGAATCCTGTTATGGTTGCTTGAGGTATAGTAAAAATACTCTATGGAGTCAGAGAAGTGCTGTCTCCAGTATGAATGAAGACGATGCAGAAAGAATACATAGCTGCTTATTATGTCACTAAAAATTAAATAGAGCTCAATAGAGAGCAATACAACATAGTAGGAACCTGCCAATTATTTTTCTGCAATGGAATTGAGCTTCTGAAGACATTTACTGCAATAAACTACCTGAAGCATTTATTTCGTGCTTCTCTTATTTTTGTGACCAGAAAAAATAATAGAATCAATGACTTGGGAGTTTTACAATCTTAAGAAGCTGTTTGTCAGTGATGCATCAACATAAAGGCATAAATTGATATATTTTCTCTGTTGCTTGTCTCTGTTTTCCATAGATCTGACCTCTTAGTTTAAGTAATAAAATAATAAAAAAGATTGTAATTTTTGCCTTGAATTCATAAAGAATGAATATAAGGGAGCATCCTGGTTGGCTAATATTTGGTTAGATAAGTTTTAAACAACTTGAAAGTGTCATGTTGTTTTAGAATTCATTTAGTTTGTTACTTAGGATCTTCGGTGTTCTTTTTCAGCTCCCTGGTTTTAGAGATGGAATATCTGCTACCTCCCATGAGTCCAGCTTCTCGGTGTAAAATTCTATGAAATTCCATTAATGCTGGTTCATTTTTCATATTCGTTTTTCAGATGTTAAAGTGAAATTCAAGCATTTGTTGTGATAAAATTGTGAGACTGACCTTTGGAGTCAGAGTTGGGGTTTGGTCCTTGTATAAAGGATGCGAATCCTCCAAGTGCCCGAGCTCCGCTGTGCTTCAGGCTGTTTCTTTCTCTTATTTAAGGAGATGTTCTGTAGCTCCATTTGAACATGAATCAATCTCTGAACCTTTTGCTTGCTTACCTCTAGGTTTATTTATGCCTATAGTTTATTTCATAATGTAAATATTAAATACTAGAGAAGATAACCTTTCTTTCAAGGCAGCTCTTGTGCTATTGTCTCTCTTGCACTGCTCATTTGCTTTGCCTGACCTAGGTCAGTTAGTTTTCTCCATTAATCATCTGTTCTAAGTCATGTGCTTTACTAATCATAAAGGCAGAGCTTTCTCTTCTTGCTAGGTAGGGACACCAACAAAAGCGGAACAAAAGAAACTGATCTCTCTGCTCAAGATTTTCATCAGACTTCTATTTTGAAAAGTGTGATTGTTGCTTATGTAATTACCATCACCTCCACTTTTTTTTTTTCCTCCTTTTATTGTTAAGACTATTTGAGAAGCTTATCTTATATTTTTGAGTCAATTCTAACAAAATAATGGGTTCTATTTTCTTGGCTCATTTTAGAGGAAGTTTATCATACGTAAGTTGAAAACTTGAGGTTTAGCAAAACTCAACTGAGAAAGCTTGAAAAGCAACATGTGTTACCATGACTAAAGGAAGCTACTTGTTTTCATTTTTTACATAATTATCTACTTGTAGGAGTTCTATTAAGAATTAATGAAACTATAAATTTATGGGGTTTATTGTTTGTGTAGAATAAAAATCTTTGTAAATATGACTGGATAAACTCTGCAAGAAAGGAAACATACTGATTTGTTGTCAGTTCAGACCCAAACGGGTTGAACTCGTAGCTTAGGAAATTACTTCTTTTCTGTGCTTGTGGGGTGTGGGGATGTGGGTTTGGGGTTTTTAATGATTCATGACTAATGTGATTGTATTGCCACTCCCTTTTTGCCACAACAAACCTGTTTTGCTTCCCTAGGCTATATTTTCCCCAGCCATGAGCATGTTCTATTTGTATTTCTGTTTTAAATGACAGTCCTCTCAGCTCAAGTGGCCAGCTTGTTTCCTAACAATACAGGAATGGTTAGCCACCCTTTCAGGGACGGCTAAATCATTATTGATATACAAAAGTAGATTAACAGTTAACGACGCCTTGGTTATATGCAATGCAGGCAAGAAAACTTATGCAATAGCCTTTTAAAAGAAGGGGGAAGGGGTGTGAGGGGGGAACTTGGGATGGCAGGGAAAGGAGAACTTCATATTCATTTTTGTGGTTTGTGCTGTTCAGCGTCAGCTGCTCCCACCTGGTGGCCACTTTGGCAAAAAGCCTTTATTTTTTGAAAAGTGAAGAACAGATGTGTCTTCTACTCCCCCTTTTCCTCCAAACACAAGTATTTTCTCTGCTGAGGTTGTTAAGCAGCAAAAGGAGTACATTAGTGAGGCATAACGTGTTTAATGCTCATGAAGTAACTGAGGATTGTTTTCTCCAACAGTGGCTTATCAGATACAATAATATTGGATATAATATCAAACTACCTGGTCCTTCCAAATAGAATTACTGTCCCCCTTGTCAGTGAAGTGCAGATTGCTCAACTGCGTTTTCCTATACCAAAGGTAAGCATGTTTCTGTTAATACTAATAATTTGGCATTTATTTTTTTCTGAAGTAGTAACTGTCACAGATAGGCACATCTATGTGAATTTCTAAATAAAAGTTATTGTAGTAGTAGTAGTTCACTAGTATTGTGAATCTAATCACTTAAAATAATTGATTTATAACTTCTGTGAAGTTAATGTTTCATGATGACGCCAAGAAGGGGTTTTTTTTGCCAGACTCTTAAACATATTACTTGCTAAAATGTAGTTCAGCTGTATAGACTAAAATTTAAGTAGCATATGTGTTACATCATCATTCTAAATTATGTTGGTGCTCTTCAACTGAAAGTTGTTACACCTTATTGCTACTCCCAGTAGCATGGCATTTCTTGATATACCTGGCATGTTTCTGATTGCTGATGACAGTTTTTCGTTTCAGGAATCTCTTGAGTGCTAGGTCTGCTGTGTATGGGAATCATCATTGCTATCCCTCCATTTACAGCGTGTCTAAACTAAGCTTCGTGTTAAGGAAATCACAGTGGAAATTATAAAACATATATTGCATAAATTAAGATGACATGGAACTTTCAGATTACTACATAAACCCATCTTTTCCTTTTTCAGGGTGTTCTACGGATACACTTTATTGAAGCTCAGGACCTGGAGGGGAAAGATACTTACTTAAAAGGGATTGTCAAAGGAAAGTCAGATCCTTACGGAATCATCCGTGTGGGCAACCAGATTTTCCAAAGCAAGGTCATCAAAGAAAATCTCAATCCAAAATGGAATGAAGTTTATGAGGTATAACGAATAAAAATACCTTGTGTATGTTCTGTAAATTTGTTCTCCAAAACTGCTTTTGTTCAAGATGATACTCTGGGGACTTCCTTGAGGAGCTTCTTGATGTCTCCCTCTAAAAGCCCAAAGTACTGTAACAAAACAGAAATTCTCCATGAATGTGTATGCTTTTATGTCTAGATTAAGCATCAGTAATTCGAAAAACAATCCAGTCTCTTAAAGCCAACGTTAGCAAATCACATCCAAAAAGCTCTTAGACTCGCTCTACTGGTTAAATCGCATCTTTTTTTAAAGCATTTGCTTACTGATATGTTTGAACTGCAATGCCTTTGGGTATTTAATATTTTACTGTTACTGTGTCGTTTAACAAAGCCAGCTTGTTTTGCCTCTGACAGTACCACCTTACTGTACTTCCAGGCCTTAGTATATGAGCATCCAGGACAGGAGCTAGAGATTGAGCTCTTTGATGAAGATCCAGATAAAGATGACTTCCTGGGAAGGTAAATGTTATGGATGATATTCTCGTAGGTATTGAAAAGACATGAAATATTTGGATGCATCCTTTTTTTTTTTTTTTCCTTTTTGCATTTTATTACAGTTGTAGTGCTGCTATATTACTATATTTATAAATCAATTATCTTTTCAAAATGGTGGTAGTAAGTAGTTCCCCAATTACTTTATATATATACATATATGTAAATACAGATGTGCCTGTGTGTATATACGCATCTATTATGTTTATGTATTCTTTAAAAATAAGGTAAGTATTGTGAGTACACAGAAAAAAAAAAAAAGAAATGGTGGGTGTTTGTTTTTTTAGGAATTATACTCTACCTGCTTTAATGTTTGTAAGATAGTGCTAGGTCTTAATTATTTCTCGAGGCAAAGTTTATATAGCTTTATAACGATGTATCTTCTTCATCTTCATATTTTTTAAATGGCTAGCTCACAGTTTAATTTTCTCTAAAAGCTGATCTTAACTATTTGATTAAAGAAAAAAAATTGCTGTAATGCTTTTGCAAACATTACTCACTCTTAGATTCCATAGGCCTACCTTTAGTGTTTACCCATAAACATTTCAGGGTTTAGTCAGCTTCTTTCTCCAGTAATTTGTCACCTTTATTTCTTGCAGAGTTTTGGAGCTTCCCATTGTTGCTTTCCATACAGAGTAGAACTCCCTTATCTTTCCAGCTCCTTCTCTCTTAACAGGAGCAACAGTACCTACTTCTCTTCTCATTAAAATAAAGAAGTAGGTAGTACAAAGGCTTCTTTTCTTTGCACTTCCCTAATCTTACACTGAAGTGGTGGTGGGGGGCGAAGTGGCATAATGTGTATATCAGTACTAATAAATCAAAAAGCCACGACAAATGTTCATGCACTGGCATGCAGTTGTCTGCCCTGTTTAATTTTTAGCAGACTCCTTGGTACATTTTTAGCTTGTGTAAACTAGCACTCTCCAAGACAGTGCCAAAGCATGGATTTGGTCATAGAATATGTCCAGGGGCTATTTCCCATGGGTAGTTTGGATGTGGTCACTGTACTGAGAGTTTCGTCATATGTATGTGAGCCATATTGTGCCAGTTGCCCTCTTAGATACAAAATGGGCTCTAGTATATGCGTATTTTCTCCTGTCCTGCATTCATCTTCGTTCAGCCATTTCATTCCCTACTTCTTCCTCTCTTAGGGGCTAAAAGAATAGTATTCTGCTCTTTTGATCTCAGTGGAGGCCTGGATACTCAGCAGCACAGGGTGGGGTTTGAGTTGTGTATTAAATTCTTTGCTTCTTGGCTAAAATACTGACTGGGTTTTTTATCTTTTCTTCTAGTTTGATGATAGATTTAATTGAAGTTGAAAAGGAACGTCTTTTAGATGAGGTAGGTGTTCAGTAAGTTTAAAAAAAACCCGTATGTTGTATATGTAGTTGTTCTCGTTAAACTGTTGGTTTTTTCCGGGGGATGGTTCCTGCCTGTGCATGAATAACCTTCATGTTATAGAAATAGGTTCAGTACAGTGGTTTAAGGGATACCTGAATTGGTGAAATCCAAAGAATAATGCCATTCTTCTTCTGTCTTGGTCTTTTAAGACTACTAGTATGTCAGTACAAAACCAGGAACTTACGTATGTGGTGAGAGCTTTTTCTTGCCAAAGAATAGTTAATTGCCTGGTTTAACTACTGTTAGACTTAGCAAACTAATTTTATATGTAAAAGAAATTTTATAGTAATGCTGTTCTGGGTTTGTATTTCCAGACCATCTTTACAGAACTTAAAGAATTCTCTTAATTTTTTTAGAATGCTTTAACATAGAAGTTTGTCCGTCTCTTTTTGTTACTCTATGTTATATATCCAGGGTGAAACAGGACATATTAAACAACGAATCAGATCTTTTCAGATTATGCAGGCTTCAGCTCTATAAGCTTTCTTGTAGAGCTCAAAATTTCCTAAATAGCCAATTGCAATCATGTATTTGTTCGGTGTCAGATTATTTCACATTACTTTGCTTAACTTCTAGTGGTTTACTTTGGATGAAGTGTCCAAAGGAAAATTGCATTTAAAACTGGAATGGCTCACATTGATGCCAACTGCTGAAAATCTAGACAAGGTATTAAAGGAACACATTACATTTATCCTAATCTTTATTGTCGTGGGCCTTTTTTTATTGTTGGTTTTTGGTTTTGGGTTTTTTGTTAAATGTGTAAGTAATTGATTCTCTGGCTTACAGGATAAACCTGTAATTTTATTCCAAGCTGTTGATCTTTAGAAATCACAAACTAGTCACAACTGTCAATGTGCTCTTGTGGCATGGGATTTTAAAATGCTGGTTTTATCCTCTTCTTTTAATGTTACATTTTGGGACTATGAGCTAACATTTTATTAGCCTGGGAGATAAAGCTGGATATGATGTTATAATCTGTCTAGACTAAAAAATATAATTAGGAAATGGGGTGGAATTTCTATGAATATTGGTTTGAAATACCTGTTTGAGTCTTGAAGACTTACTTCCTATGCTTTGTAGCACGCATTTGTGAATGTGCGCATTTTGGGAGATGTTTTAAAAATATTTGTCAGGAGTGGGACAGAAATATAAATACAACTTGATTTTTCAGAAAGGCTTACAGTATGTTTTTGGTTTAGGTGCTAACAAGCATTAGAGCTGATAAAGACCAAGCCAATGATGGGCTTTCTTCTGCATTGCTTATTCTCTATTTGGACTCAGCAAGAAACCTGCCTGTAAGTTATATTCTGATGGATACCCATACAAATGGGTGTCTCTTGTGTACTTCCAGCATGTCTTGCTTGGTGGTATGGCACACTGCTTTACTAACACACATTATGCTGTGTTTTCTGTAGTTTCTCTCATTTCAAAACGTGTAATGTAAGGTCCACATTTCTATGAGTATGTATTCCATATATAATAAAGCGTTACTCTGTAATCAGTGTTATCTTTCTTTAAAGAATGCTCCTTTCCTGGACTTGAAAGGCTGCATGGGTTTTTTTACATGGTGTTTTCCATAAATAGATGGGATTAGAATGGGCAGTTTTAAGGAACTAACTGGGAAAACGCCCACTTCCCTTGAGTTCAGGAAAACTTGCTTGCTTTGTTTTAGGATATCTGTGTTAGATTTGGAGGCACTGAAAAGTCCTCATCATGAAATGAAGACTGTGTAGTTGATGTTACAGTGGCAGAATACTTGCATGAGTTTTTTGCCAGGTTGTCACATGGAGGATTGTTTATTTGCTTGTGCAAAACATAAAACCAAAAAATGTTATGGTTTTGTCACTATATGGATTATACTATAGGATTGTGAAATAGCTTGTTTATGACAAGCACAGATTGGTTTGTAGTTTATTTCAGGTTAGTAAAGTACTGTTCCTGGTTGTAATTGACAGCAGTAATAAAGTAAACTCTACCATAAATAGATATCTGAAGCATAACGCTGAGTTTTGCTGGTTTTCAGCTTTGCTATTATAAGAAAAATTCTGGAAGTGATGACTGAAATACTAATCAGAGAATAAAGTTTTCAAGCCTCAGAATTTTTGCATGCATTTTGCCAGTTTGTCCACTCATCTTAAATTTAAGTTAAAATGGGGCATCAGTGTGGTTACAAAAAAAACCTTAGTAGCCTAAACAATTTACATCACTGACTAGTGTTTTCATGTCTGTTCCAGAGTGTATAGAGCAATGTTTGGAAGTAGTATTCAGGTTATTTTCAAAGGTAAAAAGATATAACTCGTTTGGAATAGGGTCCTGCATTTTTAACCTCACTGTGTTGAATAATGTAAAGTTCCCTCATCTACAATTTAAAATTCTTGTCCATACAACCTGCTTCTCTAGATTAGCTTCTCCAGAAAATATTCAGAGGCTTTGTAATGTGTTTTAGGTTTTTTCCCTTTCCTGTTTTAAGAAACATTCTATAATTGTCTCCCTCCCCCAGAAAGTTTAGGCTGCAGGTCATGAGTTCTACCTACTTCTGGGGACAGTATTTTCATTTCAGTGTCTTAATTAGTACTTCTAATCCATAGATCTCTAAATTCTAGGGCACAGAAAGGGGAAGTTCCTTGCACCCAGCTGACCAGCTAGGAAATTTGGGGACAGGATCCCGAATTTCTTATCACTGTGTCTGATGTTCTGTCTAGAGCGTTAAGGTTGCCTGGGTGGGTTAGGAGTAAAGATGATCATAGTGTGGGACCTGTTTAACCCTCTTTTTTTTTCTTTTTTTCTTACTCTACCAGCCCAAAAAAGCAGTTGCTACAAATGACTCAATATTTAACTTCTAGTCATTTTCTTTCCAGAAATGTCTTATAGAAAATATGATAGAAGGTAACATTGAATACTTGAAAATTCCATTTACATGTCTACAGCAATAAAATAATACAATACCTTGTTAAATTCAAGTTGTCCAAAACCAGATACAAAAAGGCTTCACAGTTAGGTGGGTTAAAAATAACATGAGAAGACTCTTCATGTGGGAGAACTGACAAGATTACTATAGGTTCTATAAAGACAATGCTTCTATACTGTCATGGAGCTGCTAGACGAAGTGCAGTGAATTACAGTGAATACAGCTTTTTTTTACGTCCATTTGATTGTCATGGAACAACGTTTACAAGACTAAATATGAAAGTCCTCTGGCTTCTCATGCTGTGTTCATATTCGCTTATAAGGGTTGTGTAGCGCAACAGTAAAATTAATCCCTCTTTTGGATGGCTTGTATTTACAGGGAACAAAAAGTTCAAAGATAAGTCTGTTAAAATTACACTGACCCTTACTAATAGTTTTGAAGACTTTTGTCTGCAAGTTTAATGTTACAGCTGAAATATTTTCTAGATAAATGAGTGTTTTTATTATCTTCAAAATGGAAAATTCAGTTCAAAAATAGCTTGTTTTGTTTGAGTTATAGTGGATAATCCCCAGCACAGGCATTTTTGTGGGAAGATTCATCCTACTTGTGGGTTTCTGAGACACTGGGATGATTTATGAAATATGTGTCAAGTGAAATAAAAACGGTGCGGAAGGCTGGTCTCTAAATTTACTTAGTTGGATCTGCCATATAAATCTGAACTACCCGGAGTAAACTTGGAAAGTGGGCTAATATATTTGAATAATTAATAAGAAATAAAAAAACACATTGCCTTGCTGTGCTACAGAAAATAACTTAACAGATGAAACTACTTGTAATGAGAAATATTTACTTACTTTTTGTTATCTGCTGTTTTCTTTGGAATCCTTTGACTGTTTTTCTTAACTTTTTTGTGTAGTAAAGCTGCTTATGCATTCATACTGCCACAATCCCATCACTCTGCTTTCTCCTTCCATTTCCATCTTCCTAAGAGTATCTACGAGGGAAACTTTGGGTGTGGATACTTAAAAGAGAGGAGAGCATCGGGACTAGTCTTTTGTGAAAACACTACCTCACTCTATAGAGCACTATTTGTGAGTTCTCTGGTATTATTTGTATTGTACCTTTTACTTGCCAGAGTGTGGATTAGAGCTACTAAAGCCACTCACGCTAGTGGAATGAGAGCATGCAATTTGTTTTGCTGCATGGTTTCAACAAGTGTGCATTGTTTTTGTGCTATTTTTATTGCATTTTAAAGGCTACTTAAATTTCATTGATCATATCATTGGGTAAGTCAGTAACTTTTTATGATAAAAACCCAAAGTAAGTTTATTGTACAAGCTCTTACGTTTAACTTAAATTGCTGATTCATTGAGAGATAAAAGAAATGCTATACTAGCACACTGTGTGCTGATGAATTGTGGACTTTTATTGCAAAGAAATTAATAAATACTACAACCAACATTCCGACGGTTTCTTTAAAAGGTGATGCACTCAATATTTGTAAGAACTTGCAACCTCTCCATACAGGTTCAAGTACTGCTTTAAAAAATGGGGTGGTTCTTCGTGCTCCCCAAACTATAAATTCCCTTGTAAATTCTATTTCACTCCATGATGCTCCTTGTTTTGCAAATTCCCAAGCTCCTTTTCTTGTTTTAAAATTAGTCCGTAGTCACGAAAATTGAGGCTAGGGAGAAAGACCAAATTAGTATTTTTTGCTTGCATTCAGTGTTACAGGATTACAACAAACTAATGAGCCTCTGAATATCTGACACTTAAATCTGTAAACACAGCCTTGGTGTCTTCAAAATGAATGAGTATCTGTTCAGAATAAGAACTCTTTTGCCAGAGGTTGGTGTGCCATTGTAGGTGGTGTAGATAAACTTGCTGCTGGCCCGCTACTTCTGGCTCATGTCATAAACCGTAATTTCACACACACACAGAGATCTCCACAAATCCCTCTTCTGTGGTCCTTTCAGTTAGTTTCTGTGTAGAAGTGAGTTTTAAAGTATCAAAAGAGTTACAGCCATTACTAAATCTTGTTAAAATGTAATGACTAAGAAATGCAGTTCATAAGCTATGTGGTTCATTTATCTTTGTATTAGAACTGATAAATAGTTGCTGTTTCTTTTAGTTATAAAAATACTAGATACATCTAAAAATAATATTTTTTAGAAAATCAAACTTTTCAATCAAGAGTGTAGCCCTGATGTTTTTTTTGGGTCTTACGAGTCTTTGCATTAGGGCATCATATACATATAACAGCATCTATTTAGATGTTGGACAAAACTTTTCAAATCCCTGAAGTGATTTTTGAGTCAGAGTGGAACAACAAACCTTTTAAGATAGCCAGGTCTGCATTTCCTTCAACACCACTGTTAACTGCCTTGTTCTGCAGTTGCCCTGCAGAACCCATGGTGCTGCTCTTGCAGCAAGAGGATGAGATGTTATGGCTGGAGGCCAGGAGGGAGGAGAGGACTGTAGTAGCCCAGAGATAACGGCTTCAGCAGTCTTAAAACTGCACCATCATTAAATGTAAGGTATTATGCAGACATTCCCACTGCAAGTTCATATTAGAATCATAGAATCATAGAATGGTTTGGGTTGGAAGGGACCTTAAAGATCATCTAGTTCCAACCCCCCTGCCATGGGCAGGGACACCTTGCACTAGACCAGGTTGCTCAAAGCCACATGCATCCAGGGTTTGAAGACATCCAGGGATGGGACATCCATAACATCTCTGGGCAACCTGTTCCAGTGCCTAATATTTAATATTTTTAATATTAAACACATTACCTGGGAGGGGGGAGGGGTGGCAAGCATGAAAAAGGGGACTCAATTCATATAGGGAGGGGAAAATCCAATGCCTTGAGTGCTCTCAGTTCCTTTCTAGACAGTTTTAATGACTGCTGGGAACCTAGGTTCATGACACCTAATTCAGACACTCATCTAAATCTGGTTTATCTGCAGTTAGGGAGTATGAATTGTGGTGTTAGTGTAATTTCCAGAAGTGAGCAACACTAGTTTTATGATGCGTTGTCATTAGCTCATAGCAATTGTTTTTCTTTAATTTGGTGCCTATATAACATATAAATTATCCATACTTTAAAACCGCTCT